TCGCGATTAAGGTAATGACGGCCGCACGATGCCCAGAGTTAAGAGCCACTTCAGCACGCTTTCGGAATTCGAAAAGTCAAAAGATCTTCGGATTCCCGCGAATGCATTTAATGTGAGTGGTCAATCAAGTTTGACTTTCGGTCAAATCAGCCCATCGCACTTCACGAACTCCTCGTGCTAAGGTTACGCTCTCATCTCAAGGAGTGGGGGGCAATTGATGGAGGACGATTTGACCTGACCTACAAAACGGTGACACGTGGACCTGACTCAGCACAGGTAACAACTCAACATCGTGGCTCCGCACGAAGAAGTAACGAGCCCATAGAGCAGCTCGCTACACTGTAGCTCACAAGAGAAGGGGCTCGCCACAACGCGAGCTCTGGGTTCCCCGAGCTACCCCGAAAGGGATATTCCGAGGCAATTTTAGCTCGCGAGCTAGGGAAACTAGCTCTCCCGAGCCCCCAAACAGATAAGTCATCCCAGGGACCAATTTTACTAGGGGTGATCTTGAAGCATCCCGAGCTCGCTATCGAGTAGCTCGGGAACGAGTCGCATGAGTGTTCCTCATGGCAGGTCATACCGATCAGACTACGCCACTTTCCTTACTGACGGTGCAGTTCCTGCCCTTTCTATAGTCTGCGTCCACATCTCTTGGCAGGCGGAGGCGTGCCTTCCAATTTGGGGACGTGTCGTTCACCCGGGCAAGAGGTACGTCACAACGGCCACCCGCGCAGCCCTGGCAGGTAACGACTGTGGAAGGAGCCCAGTGGCGGTTATGCCTGACCTGATGTGAGTGTCCCTATAAAAGCCCTCAGGGCAGAAGAGAAACTTCTTCTTTCGACAGTCTGCGTCCACATCTCTTAGCAGGCGGAGGCGTGCCTTCCAATTTGGGGACGTGTCACTCACCCGGGCGAGAGGTACGTCACAACGGCCACCCGCGCAGCCCTGGCAGGTAACGACTGTGGAAGGAGCCCAGTGGCGGTTGTGCCCGACCTGGCACGAACACCCCTATAAAAGCCATCACGGCAGAGGAGAAACTTCTTCTTGAACCTCTGATCTCTTGAGCATAGTGGTAACGCGCTATCTGCACTCTTAGCCCTTTGCCTTCTCCTTTCTTCTACCGAGTATTGACTTAAGCATCGGAGTGTCCCCGCCGGGCAGACCCCCAAGGGATTCTTCTTCTTCTTCTTCATCTCAGGTGTCTCTCAAGAGCCACGCGAGTGCCAGGTAGGAGTGACCGGATCGCGCTACATCAATAATTAATAATAAATATTGTTAATTAATAAAAAATACCGAAATTAAATAATAGTATTACTCCTAAATTTTACTATTTTTTAAATAAATACCAAAATTACTGTTATTTATTTAACAGTAATTTCAGTATTTAATTAAATAGCAGTAATTTAATACCGCAATTAAATAAAATAAATACTGAAATTTATAAAAAACACCATAATAATAAATACTGTTATTAAATAATGAATACCGTATTTATTATTAATAATAACTACTTTAATTAATAAAAAACACTATAATTAATTAACGGTAATCCAATACTGTTATTAAATAAAATTATTAATAATAAATACTGTAATTAATTAACAATAATTTAATACCGTAATTAAATAAAATAAATACCGAAACTAATAAAAACACCATAATAATAAATATTGTTATTAAACAATACCATAATTAATAAAAAAATACTGTTAAATGGTGTTATTTAATAAGAGGTAGTTATAAATTTTGTTAATGAAATGGACCGGGCAGACGTCTCCCGCATATGCTCCATGACCCACACCGATATTTAAATACGGTTAACTAAATTGACCGGGTTGCACATGCTCCATACCCGATTGTTAACCATCATCATCTTCACCCGAATAAAGTCTACTGTGTTTGCTCGATTGAGCGAACACAGTAGAGTAAAACCCGACTTAAACAAACGAAAAAAAAAATTACAGAGGATGGCAGAGTCAATCAGCAAGTCTCCTGATTATGTTTCTTTTTAAGAAAGCATTTAAAGAACGAAAACCACAGTCAATCAGAATAAAAAACCATTTAGGCTCAGTTTGGAAGCAGTACAAATGCAAATATGTACAGCGTAAATACATACAAAATATAAAGTTTTGCACTCTACATATTTGCATTTGTACTCCTTCCAAACTCAGCCTTAACGAACGAGAACCACAGAGTCAATAGGGGTGCTAAGTTTTCGTTCGTAACTGTGAGCACCCTTTCCAGCTCAGTTAATGTGCTCACAGCTTTTGTATATCTGTACTCTTTCGAGCTCAGTTAACGTAACTGTTCTCACAGTTAAAAATAAAGTTTAGCTAGTATGTTTCTTTTTAAGAAAGAACAGAGTAAAAAACGACTGAAGCATAACAGAGTAAAAAACGAAAATAATAACAGAGCAAAAAACGAAAAAAAAAATAGAGAAAAAAATGATAGAGCAATAGGGCCTAGCCGTGCAAGTCGGGCAGGCTGGATTGGGTTTAAGGTCATCATAAATATTGGGCCTAAGGCCAAGGTTAGATTTAGCCTGAGTTCAAGCCCGATCTTTTCAATCTAGGCCCAGCTCAAATTGAAAATTGACATACTCGAGTTGGGCCCAAGCCCAACCTGAGCTTGGGTCGGTTAATTGGGCTCAAGTGGCCCTGTTAGTCTAAATGTACATGAACTTATTTATTTATTATCACTAATATAATAGAAAAGCCCAGGATCTGGGCCCAGGCCCAGCCCAATGACTGAAATTCCATTTTACTCTAACCTGTTTATAATTCCATTTTCACCTTTCAACAACTTTTCACAATGACTCACTTGCACACAAAATGGAAAAGCAACCAAAAAATGCAAGTTTGATGGTTGTAATTGTCAATTGTATCTAGACATTAAAAGGTCTAAATGCTGGAACATGTTGAAGTGATTGAAAATCAGATTGAATCCTGACCATTCTTTTAACATAAATGTGAATATTTCATATTTTCATGTATGCTGAATGTTGCATGTTTAGGTAGGTAGGTAGCATGCGCTCTTATGCTTAGGGGTGTCAATTGGACTAAATTTGGTCCAATCCAATCTGATCTAGTATAAATTCATTACAGATGGGCCATGTCCAATTCGATCAAATGAATACTTTGGATTAGACTTGTTCACGAGCCAGGTAGTTCGACGGGCTGGCCTAGCCCAACCTGATCTAAGGTTGGGTTTGGACAGGATTTCAGGCCCACGGGCTCGGGCTTTTTCAAAAAGGCTTGGCCCTAGCCTGAGCCCAATTTGATAATGTATTATATAATAAAAATATTATATATATATATATTCTTTATTTTTCTTCTCTTTTTTCGAGTAATAATGAGATCTTTGATTATTTTTTAGGTTTTGAGGTCTTTTAATATAAATAAAAGTTTTTAATTGGATTAAAAGTAAAAAAAAAAAAATCTTTTTTCCAAATTCTGGCTAGGCTCGGGCTTCGAGCTTTATATGAGGGCTAGGCTTGAGCTCAAGACTTAGGCCCGACCATCGGGCCGGGCTTGGGCTCGGGCCTGAACATATTCTGTTAATGTAGAGGCAAAGCCCGGCCTGGCCCAGCCAGTGTACATGCCTACTTTGGACCATTTTAGATTGGTCCAATTCAATGACTGAACCGTCCGATCTGTTCAAATTGGTTTTAACTTAGACAGGTTACAACCCAAACTTGGTCCATTGACATCTGTATTTTTATCTTTTATGAATGAACCAGATATTGGTTCAATCAAATCCAACCAATATAAAGGCCATTACGGATGGACCAGGTTTGATCCAATTCAATAACTACTTTGGACCATTAAGCCTGAACTGGTCCAATTAAATGTGTCTTATTGGTCCCTCCAATCTCTCTAAATTGATTTTGGATTTGACAAGATCCAACCCAAAACTGGTCTATTGACACCCCATCTTGATATTTCAGGACCTTTGGTCTTGCCAAGAGATATTTTAAAAGATTCAAATGAGTGAAAATTTAAAAATATTAGGATTAATTGTGTTGTGAAAATACCATCACCCCTCACTATCATACCATGAAAGCACGACTCTCCTGATGTTAGTCTTACCTCTTCAAAATTGACTGAAAGATCCATTCAAAACCACCCTCATGTCCTTCGAAAATAAAGAAAAGAAACAACAAATAAATAGTGTATGTCCTGCCACAATCAACATTATTTTCACTTCCTTGGTTGCTTAGCCAAACAAACATTCAGCCATCGGCCATTCGATTACGCTAAACTGGTGTGATATTCCACTTTGGATCTGCTACTAAAACATTTTCCTATAAATAAAAAGGGAGATATTCCTAATATGCAACTGTAATGTCCCGTGAATCTGTGAAAACAACTTGTGGGTAATAGACTAATAGATTCGAGCATGCAATATTCAGCTTTTACATAAATAAATGGGTGTCGGTTAAGTTACCTCTGATCATTCTTTTTTGCAAATTATTCATACTCAATGGCTCTGATTTCAAACAGCTAGAGGTACCAATGGGTTGGATCCAGGTAGACTGAACCCGATAAAATCTACAATTTTAGACTCAGAACCGAATTGATAGGCAATCAGGTCTAACCCGGTGGAATCAATTCTGAAGCAATAAAAATCGAAACAATATTATCAAGAACCAGAACTAATTCAATCAATTTGGGTCTATCGGATCCAACCCGACCCATTGACAACCCTACAAGCATCAAAGCAGAAATAGTGATTCGGTTCGTCGCCAAAAATGAGGAATGCAGGACCATTCGTTACTTAGCTACTACCATGAGTAACTCTGGGGCCCATCCCATCGACTTCTCTAGATTGGTATAGGCCACAGATTATCCACAAAGCCTTGACTCGAAGGATACGTTTGAGCACGTCGGTTTCGAAAATGTAATATCTCCTAGTTGGACTGACGTGGAAATGTTTGATTGGTTCTGTTACGATAAGAAGTGTGTGTACACAACGAACCCAGACCAAACTATATTGCTTACTAGCATTATCGTCTCTCAACGTTGCCATCCTACAGCCCAGCTCAGCGACGACGAGCAATGGCAGCAACCGTGGCCGGTGTTACTCTCTCTGCCACCGGAGTGGTGGCTAAGGCAGACTCGACCAAGGTCCAGAGCTTTGGATATCCTTGCCTGAACCACCCATGGAGGATGAACCAGTGCTTCAGGAGTGGTCGTTTATACGTCAGAACCATGGCCACCACACCAGAGAGCATCTCGGACAAAGTGAACGAGAGCATCAAGAATGCCCAGGAGACATGCGCCAGTGACCCAGCAAGCGGTGAGTGCGTCGCTGCGTGGGACGAGGTCGAGGAGCTGAGCGCTGCAGCAAGCCATATACGACTCAAGCAGAAGGAAAAAGACGCAGACCCACTGGAACACTTCTGCAAGGACAACCCAGAAACAGAAGAATGTCGCACATACGAAGACTGAGAAATCTGAAGGTTCTCTGTCTACTAGTTCCCCACCTGCATGCCTATAAAACTTGGATGTTAATCAGTTGCTTATTTAGTTTTGTGTTCATTAAAATTAGAGAGGAAAGAGAGGAGGAATGGATAGATTAATGGAGATAAAGACATCTGAGCACAGCTCAGGAGCTTAATTAGTCCATCTCAATCGCCTGTACAAGAAAGGGTTTGGCAGTTCTGGCCTGTTAATTTCTTGGGCCAAATAGCTTTGTGTTGGAGTGTGTCATGTGTGGCTCCTTTTCACAAGCCAAAAGCTCAAATATCTTCCCCATCTTGTTAGAAATTGTTGGGTCTGGGGCAAGTTCTATTAGTTGCAGTCTTTATCCATGTTGATCTATGCATGTATTAATCTCTTAGCTTTTTAAAGAGTTTGAATTGAAATTTTCTCCGCCAACCATCTAGGTCACTCCGAAGATCTCTGTTCTCTGTTCATGCGGCAAATTCTAGCCAAAATCACTCTGCCTCAAGTTTTCTTCTTCATCAATCAGACTATTACCAAAATTCAAAGAAAACAGGAATGATAAATCTACTCTGCGATTACTCGTGTCAATGTGAAGTGGGAGCATTGCTAATAATACTCTCGCAATTTGCAAGTAACTATGATTAGAGATAACGAGATATAATCTTATCACCATTAGTCGATGAAGGGATTTTTGTCTTTTCACATGAGATTATGTTGATAATTAGGGATGAACATCGGCCCACATTGCCTGGCCCAGTTCTGGGAATGCATTATCAGGCCCAAGATGCAGGTGCACACGGGGTTCGACTATGATATGGGAAAGATATTATATGGGAATATATATATATATATAAAAGAAAGTCCACATCACCATGCTTCTCCTTCTTTTATTTTTCCCTGCATTCTCCTTGACTCTTTCTCCTCTCCCCTTCCCACCACCCATATTAAGCCAACTCAATACCCTCTATCTTCATTTTCTAATTAGCTAGCTCAATATATTTCACCTAAAATCTCTCTCTACAACTCATGTTTCTCACTCTCTCTACCCAAATAATTATTCTCCTTAACTAGCTCAACTCTCTCTCTCTCTCTCTCTCTCTATATATATATATATATTTGATCCATTTAACTAAAGTGATGTGGTTTATTGGATCGGTATGGTTTGGTTTTCATTAATCCGACCTAGTTACAACCCATTTACTTTTAATGGTATATTGTTTATAATTAATAATTTCATTTTATTTTATTATAATTCAAACCAAAATAAATAAATTATTTTGTGATTAATTAAAAATTCTCAAACAATATTATTATTTTTAATAATTCATAATTTTCATTTTAGTAATATTTTTTGGGATCAATTACTAATATTGTTGACAATTTACTAATAGTTTACCTTAATTTTTTTAGGATTAATTGAAAATACCAAAGTTCACTTAAAATCTATTATTTATATCCATGATTTATTAAAATTTTCCAAAATTTAATACCAAAATATATTACTATTTTTAGTAATTAATATTAGTGATATATTAATCATTCATGATTAACTAATTAGTGATATATTACCAAAAAATTAATTAATTAATTACCAATAATAATTAATTATTTTATTAATATTAAATTTTAAAAATTAATAATTGTTTCATGAATAATTAAATTAACTATTATTACTATTAATAATAGTAATATTTTTATAAATTAAGAATTATAAAATTTACTAATTCATAATCGAGAATTATTAAATATAATTATAAATTTATTAATATTTTAAATTTTAATTATAAAGTTTAAAAATAATTATTAACTATTTTGTGAACAATTAAAAAATACCATAAAATATTTCTATTCTTAGTAATTAATATTACTATTAGTTACTATAAATTAAAATTAGTGCTATTAATTACTAGGGGGAAGGCTCTAGCTCGAACCAAGCTCGAGCCTTGTACTATTTGACTCGACTCGGCTCAAATCCACCCCTACCCCTAACTCTTTTTGCCTAAAGTTCTTTTAACAATGCTCATGCATCACACAGGTCCCCACTATATATATATAGCAAAACAATCCACGTCACCATGTCTCTCCTTACTCCATTACCTCTACCTTGCATTTTCCTCTCCTCTTCCCCCTACTCCCATTAAGCCATGTCACCATTTCCAACACAATTACTTAAATATTCTTACAATTGCTTTCCTAAGATATCTCCTCTAAGTCATTAGGAAGTACCATGTTACACCATTTCCCAATTAATTCCTAAAATCTCTTCCCCCAATCTATATCCATTATCTCTCATTTAAAATATTCATATTAATTAATAAATAGTTAAATATGATTAATATTTAATCCAACCCATATTCAATGATTTTTAATACTGTTTTTACCAAAAGTTAATAATACGGTTAGTAAATTACCAACAATTAAGCATTCTTCTTAGTACGGTAAATTACTGAAAAATTAATAAATACTATTATTAATTAACTTATCATAACATTTTAAAGTATTTTGGGTAAATGTTGTTATATTCATGTTAATTAACAACATTTTATAAAAATTGAAAACTCTTTATCTAATTCTTATAAATTTGAGAAGTTAGAATTATATTTAACAATTACCAAAAAGCATAAAATTTTAGTTATTTCTATTATTATAGTTAATAACCAAATACAAATGGGGGAATAAAATATTACAATGTTGGAAAATGAAATTATTAATTAAATTATATTGGAAAATAAAAGATAAATTAGTGTAATTTTGTTAGTAAGCTACTCAATAAAAATAAATATTTAATAACAATTTAAAATAATTTCCAATAAATCTCCATGATTACACAAATGTAATAATTTTTTCAAAAATTTTCACAAAACTACATTTTCATAAAATATCATTTTGGAAACTAAAAGATATAATATTGTACTTTTGGAAATTTTTTGTAAGTTTATTTAAAATGTATTAAATAATTATTGAAAATTATTGGTATACTTTGGAAATTTTAGGAACATTTATTACATTTGATAGATTTTGGAAAACTATTGAAAAGTTATGTAATTTTCATTGTAAATTATTGAAAATTATTAAAGATAAATGAGTATTGGTAAGGGAAAACTACACTTTGAACCAATAATTACACAAGTTAAGATAAAAATAAATTTGAAAAAAATTTTCAAAATTACGCAAATATAATAAATTTTCCAAAACTTTCATAAAATTACATTTTTGAAAATTAAAGACAATTTAGTGTAATTTTAGAAATTTACCATGTGACTAATACTTAGTATATCCTTTTGATCATTTTTGTCATCAAATTGAATAATGGGTTGACGAGAAGTGGGTGTCTTGCCTTGAACTCTCTTGACACTGGGGACAGGGTGGGGAAAATTTGAGGATTCCCCATCCTTGATGTGGAGTGGGTGCCTTGCCCTAAGCTCACCCAACACTAAGAATGAGGTAGGGAAATTCAAGGGTTCCCTGTCCAAAATAGGGAGTGGGTGCCTTGCCTTGAATCCACCTAACATTGGGGACGAAGCAGGGATGGGGTAGAATGTCTTAACTACAGGGTGAGGATAGGGATGGAGTGCCCTGCCCCGAACCCACCCTATTGCCATTTCGACACAATTGTTAATTATTAGTGAAATTAATAATAAAAATGTTAGCTTTTGTAATTTATACATTTAAAGTCAATCAAAATTTAATTTAAAAATAATGAAAATAATAAAAGTTATTAAAATTACTAAAAATGATTAATAAAATTAAATTTATTAAAAATATTTGTTCATATTAAATTAACAATAATTATTTTCTGTAAATCAACATTAAATGAAAAATACAATTATTAAAATTTTAAATAATAACAATAACTTTGAATATTTTTAGTTAATTAAAGTCAAATTTTAATTATTGATTTATCAATTAATTAATAGTAAATAAAATTATTCAATATTTCAGATTTTCCAATGCATCACACGGGTCCTTGCTTCTCTTGCTTCAATATATATATAGCAAGATAGTCCAAATCACCTTGCTTCTCCTTGCTTCATTACCCCAACCCTGCATTCTCATTGACTCTCTCTCCTCTCCCCCTTCCCACCACTCCTAATTTGCCATCTCAGCACACTCTCTCTTCATTCCTCTCCCTTCCCATTGGGTTCTCTCCCCCCCCCCCAACCTAACTTCACTCCTTAATTAGCTAAATATATGTTTTATCCTCTCCTTCACTTCTATCTCTAATTCCCCTATATTCTCTCCACTCTCCCAAAAAAATAGGGCCATAATTTATTTATATTTGGTTTTCCAAAACAAACAATATTTATATCTATACACGTGATTTCAAGCAAAGAGAGGGGAATAAGGGGAATTCGATGTTTCCTATATATTAATGGAATCTTCCATTATTGTCAAATAATCAATTGTTAAATAATTATCTGTTGTTAAATAATCCATTAGTTATGAAAATTATTAAAAAATTATGGAAAATATTCTACCAAAAATTATGAAATAATTATTTCAAAAATAATACATTATTTAATAAATATTAAATAATTTAATAATCTACCAAAATTAATAAAAATCCATTATTTAATAATTTATTGTTATTAATAAATGTTCAAAATTTCAACGTTTAGCATAACTTACATTAATCATTGTAATTTAATAAATTTTCACTAAATTTTATAATAATAATTTATTGATAAAAGATATTACTAATTAGTGTAATTTACCTATTTCTATAAAATCAATAATTATTGTTAATAATTATCAAATAATTTAGGGAACTCTTTAACTAATAATCCATAATTATTTCTTAAATAAGTAATTAAAAAAATTAAGAAATTAATCTATGAAAAATATTCTACAAAACTATTTAAATAATAATCCATTATTATTATTCAACTAAATACTTGTTAAAAATTTAGGAAAATTACACTAGGAAATTAATCTAGTAGAAATTGTTTCATAATTATTTAAATGACAATCCATTATTATTATTCAATAAATAATTATTAAATAATTTAAGAAAATTATTAAGTCTATCCACTTGATAGGGAATGGGTGCCTCGCTCCAAACCCACCTCGCCACTAGGGTTGGGGCAGGGATGGGGTGCCTCATCTTGGCATCGCACGGGCCACCGCTAGTGCATACAAAATATTTGATATTATGTAACAACTTTAAAATAAATAAAATTCAAATAATGCAAATATTTTATATATTATTTAAATAACTAAATATTTTAAAGGGATTTTTACAAAATTGTCCCTTCTTAAATTAGGTCAATCATCTATCATAATCTACCGTACATCGTCTTCCTCATAAATAGCCTCATATAGCCAACAGTTTACTAGTAGCAATCTATACTATCTATAAAAGAGTGAATGTCCCTTCTTTTTGGAATTTTCATTATCCAAACATACAAAGGGCGTAAAGAGGACATATATGTCCTTTACTCTCA